GAGGGCTTGACTAATTCGAGGAAACATCAATTCAGTTAGCAAAATACATCGTTTGAATGCGACGAATGCGACGGTAGGTTTCTCGAGCGATCTATCGCAACAATGAACGAGAGGCATTTGGTGAGGCATACCGCTCAGGCTCGAATTTTTCGAAGACCAGGCGCTTTGTGTGGTCACGGATGGTTCGAGGCTTGATGAAGCAGCCCAGATCGAGCTTCTTGGCCCGGAACATCGACATGCTGGGCAATTGTGCTCGGTCGATCGGGGACAATTGACAGCCTGATAATTGATTTTGGTTCTTGGCGTAGGAGAAGCTTCGGTGATGCAAAAGATGTTCAGATCGGGTGGTGCCGAGAATCTGCCGACGGTACGTACCTGCTTCAGAGCCACATCATATTGGGTCTCAATTCCTCCCGTTTGCAAGATCTGAATCTTCGAAAAGCTATCGCTAGGTACTTTGGCACACCTCCCATTTTGGAATATCCCAATGATCGGATTAATTCACATCATGCAATCCGGGAATCTTATGAGAATGCTGCTTCAAGTTGACTCCTCAGCGCCATGGCCATTATCCCGAGGTTTACCCACTCAAATGAGCTTCGAGCTGGCGGCCGGGTCCGGATCCGATGCGGAGCAGAAGCCTGTGGAGAAGAGTGACAGGTTTCGGTTAAACCTAGGCCCCGTTTTAGGAGTCCTCGGACCGTTGCGCCGTCCTAGCGGCGTCAGTGGTCTGGCCCCCACACTTGTTGAATTTGGCGCCCCTGACGTGGGAATGGCTTCAGTTCGTCCTTCATTACGTCTCCATACCATCTGCATCTGCCCCGCTCTCCCCGTGATTGATTATTTGTTTCCATCATCAGCGTTGGGGTAATTCTAATGACTTAATTTTCCCTTCTCCCAACCTCAGATAGGATAGCGGATGCCCCGTGTGTCAAAACTGTGCTTTCGCTAAGCTCCCCTAACTAGGTCAGCACGCTCAGCCGAGATGATGGCCGGTGACGACCAGAGCAAGAAGGGGCTTCTCGCGTCCGAAGAAAGGGATTTATTTGATGGAAGGGACTCGATTGATTCAGGTTCTGACATTGACATCAACAAGTATCCCGAGGTTTCCTACCGAGCCAATCGTACCTTGGACAGACCTCGCACACCACTTTACAAACGACCATGTGCTCGCCTCACCTTTGGTCTCGCGGCAAGTTTTCTTCTCTTTTTCATCGGGGCCGGCTTGCTAGGGCATAAAGTTCACAAAGAGGACAAGTCCTTGTATGGCCAGTCGCCGCCATGGTACCCAACGCCCAAGGGCGGAAGTGTTACCCAGTGGGCAGAGAGTTACCGAAAGGCCAGCGAGATGGTATCCAGAATGACGCTCCCTGAAAAGGTCAACATTACCACTGGGACAGGCTGGCAGATGGGTCTGGCCGTTGGTAACAGCGCACCGGCTCTCAATGTTGGGTTCCCTGGTCTTTGCCTCCAAGACGGCCCGCTGGGTGTCCGGCTCGCAGACAATATCACAGCCTTTCCTGCCGGTGTGACCGTGGGCGCTACCTTCAACAGAGAGCTCATGTACCGGCGAGGCAATGCCCACGGGACAGAGGCTCGTGAGAAGGGCTGCAACGTCTTGCTTGGCCCCTCGGTCGGCCCTCTTGGGCGCATGCCTGCTGGCGGGCGAAACTGGGAGGGATTCGGATCGGATCCCTACCTCCAGGGTGTTGCTGCCGGAGAGACCGTGCGTGGAATTCAAGATGCCAAGGTCATGGCTACGATCAAACATTATATTGCCAACGAGCAAGAGCACTTCCGCCAACCCTCAGGATGGGGAACACCCGAGTCCATTTCTAGCAACATCGATGACCGGACGTTGCATGAGATTTACGCCTGGCCATTTGCCAATGCTGTCAAAGCCGGTGTCGCCAGCCTCATGTGCTCTTATAATCAGGTCAATAACTCGTACGCCTGTGAGAATTCTAAGCTTCTGAACGGAATTCTCAAGGACGAACTAGGCTTCCAGGGATTCGTCATGTCTGATTGGCTAGCTCAGCGCTCTGGTGTCGCAAGTGCTCTGGCAGGCCTTGACATGACCATGCCGGGCGATGGTTTGATCTGGGCGGACGGAGACTCGCTTTGGGGCCCTCATTTAACTAGGGCTGTCCTCAATGGCACTGTCCCTGTTGATCGTCTCAATGACATGGCGACCAGGATTGTGGCTGCTTGGTATCAGCTTGGGCAGGACGACGAGACCGTATTTGATAGGAAGGGCCCCAACTTCTCATCATGGACGAATGACGAGATGGGTTTGATTTACAATGGGAGCCCCTCACCCCAGGAGAAGGTAAAGGTAAACCACTTTGTCAATGTTCAAAGCGACCATGCAATTGTTGCTCGCCAGGTCGCCACCGAGGGAACGGTTCTGTTAAAGAATGAAGGTGTTTTGCCTTTGACACGTGATGGGGAGATTGGCCTCGAGAAGAAGACTAAATCTGAAGGGAAACTGCGCATTGGAATCTATGGCGAGGACGCCGGGCCTGGAAAGGGCCCCAACTATTGCCAAGATCGTGGCTGCAACCAGGGCACCCTTGGATCCGGTTGGGGAAGTGGTGCTGTTGAATTCCCTTACCTGGTCGCGCCCGTCAAAGCCCTCCGAGAGGGCTTCAACAAGGAAAAGACCGAGATTACCGAGTATCTCAAGAATGATGTTACTAAGGGGCATAAGGAGATCTTAGATAAGCAGGACGTCTGCATCGTGTTCGCCAATTCGGATGCCGGCGAAGGCTTCCTCACATGGGACAGGCTTGAGGGCGACCGCAACGACCTGAGCTTGCAAAAGGGAGGCGACAAGCTGGTAGAAGAGGTGGCTACCCACTGCGGAGGAGGCGGGGGTTCAACCATTGTTGTCATCCACTCAGTCGGCCCCGTCGTTGTAGACAAGTGGATTGACATCTCCGGCGTCAAGGCTGTGCTGGCGGCCAACCTGCCTGGCCAGGAGAGCGGAAACGCCATTGCGAGCCTGATCTTCGGAGACGAGAACCCAAGCGGCAAGCTCCCCTACACGATCGGCAAGTCTCTCAAGGACTACGGCCTGGGCGGTCAGATTATGTATCACCCCAACGGCACAGTCCCGCAGCAGAACTTTGACGAGGGAGCAGCCATCGACTACCGTCACTTTGACAGATACGGGATTGAGCCACGGTACGAGTTTGGTTTTGGTCTTTCTTACACATCGTTTGAGTACAGCGGCATCAATGTCAAGCAACACAAGGCCAAATCAGCCCTACCCGCCAAGCGCCCGACTCCAGGTGCCACGCCTCCCGATTATGACAACAAGATCCCACCGGTAGAGGAGGCCTTGTTCCCATCGGAAATTCGCAAGTTTGACAAGTTTATTTACCCTTACATCAACTCTGCGGACGACATTAAGTCTGAGCCGTACCCATACCCCGAAGGCTACGACGTTGAACAGCCACTGTCCGAAGCTGGAGGCGGCGAGGGCGGCAACCCGGACTTATGGGAGATATACGTAACAGTCAGTGTTGATGTGAAGAACGTTGGCAGTGTTGGTGGCAAAGTCGTGCCACAGCTGTATCTGTCTTACCCCGTTGACCAAGGTTCGACCCTGCCGTGGCCTGTTCGCGTGCTGAGAGGGTTTGAAAAAGTACATCTCGATGTCGGGGAGTCAAAGAAGGTCGAGTTCCCACTGACTAGGCGGGACCTGAGCTACTGGGACGTAGAGAGACAGAACTGGGTGTTAGTGGAGGCCGGCGAATATCGGTTTGCAGTTGGAGAAAGCTCTCGTGATGCAAAGGCGACTGCAACATGGTGAACAGGATATAAAACTATGGGAGCGCGTGATTGATGGATATAGCGGGATCTTAGATTGCAGGGACAGGTAGCCAGGTCGTCATTGAAATCGGGGCTGTTTCCTCCAAACACACGCAACCCACCCTCCAGCAGTGATTGACATGGATTTTGCCGGCACCTCTTGCCATCTGGCGGAGATCTCGATGTTGTATGTGTCAATGATGCCTTTGATCTTCGCTTCCTTGCCGGACACTACAGTGAACGTGTTAGCCACCCACACTCCCTGGCAAACCCTGCCGGGAACTGCTAAATTGCATCGGCTATTATCTCTTCAACCTGGCTAGACACCCGAGTTTCTCGAAGCCCAGGACAAGAGCTGACCCTCCCTGTGAGGGGTCGACCGGGGTTCGGGGTATCGGGCACAACGGGTTCCGTCGCTCTGCCTCCCGTTTCTCTATGCCACGACGGTTAATCGGAATCCAGAGAAGCGACCGATCCTGGGAGTCCGCGAACGCGCCAATCAACTGAGCAAAGACCATGTCAGGCTGTCAGTCTTGTTGGTCCTGAGGTAGCACTGAAACCGCAACAGGCTCCACAGACCCCCAAAGCGAGAGCGAGGTGCAGAGAGTCTGTGTAATCTAACCATCACCCCATTTTATCCCCATCGACTAAGCTCGAGAGGCCAAAGCCCGGTCCTTGTGCATGCATAACCCGGCAACATGGGGATCCGGAGTTGGGGGAAACGGCAGGTCGGCGCATTTTCTGCATGCCCAGCTGGCGAATATCCCTGGAAACGAGGGTCGTACATACTTCTTCATCGGAATTAAATTATGGATATGGGCTGGATTCAATTTTCTGTCGCCTGTCTCCCATGGACTTAATTTTTGTTATCTCCAACAGCCCTGCATAAAGACTGATATGACCTCTGCTGACCGCACTCTTGACCATTCTCGTCTGATACTTTGATTCTTTTGCGTTGTGAGACAGAAGGAAGGATCGACCCTTGTCTAACACTAGAGTAGTTATTTACTTGCCGGTTTGTTTTGGTTTCTTCTGGTGCTTCAATTGCCCTGCCCACACCACCGTGCCTCGGCTCACAGCCTCAAGCCAGGGAAAGAGGGGAAAGAGAGTAGGACGCAACAAGGGAACTCAGTCGCAAACAACCAACTATAGCATCGATTTCCGGGCAACCATAATACATAGCCATGGCGGCGGTGGAGAAGGTAGAGGGGAACCCAGCGCCACGGCGCGAAAGCGCTGAAAAGGACAATGCCTCGCACACCAGCACCAACGATGACGACGACGACAGCACCGACAGGGTGGACCAGAACTCCCTCAGAAGACATATCAGTATTGCGAGCGCCGAGGGGGCTGCCGCCGGCGCTGCGGCAGAAATGTCCATGGCCGCCGAGTCAATTGTGCAGACCGACCCCAATGCCATAGGATGGGACGGACCCGACGACCCTGCAAACCCGATGAACTGGCCGGACCACAAGAAGTGGTCTACGGTGGTTATAATCTCACTTATGACGGTTTTGACGTGAGTCTTCTTCCGCCTGTTTGGCACTCTTTTCCCGATTTTCTCCAGCCGTGGATGAGCAGTAGCTGACATTGCGAGCGACTAGACCCTTGGTATGTACCGTTCCTTTCCCCCACCCAAGGGAATTACGAAGTGTATGCTCTGTGAATCTCCAGCTGATTGTGACGGTTTCCTCAGGGTTCTTCCATGTTCGCCCCAGGTGTGCCAGACATCATGGCCGAGTTCAAGTCGCGGGACGAGACGCTCGCCACCTTCGTCGTCTCAGTGTACGTCCTTGGTTTCGCCTTTGGGCCGTTGCTGGCCGCGCCGATGAGTGAGATCTATGGTCGCGCCATCTGCTACAACGTCGCCAACGTCGCCTTCGTCATCTTCACAATCGGCACGGCGCTCAGCCAGAATATGGGCATGATGATCGCGTTCCGATTCCTGATGGGGTTTGCTGGTTCAACGCCCATAACTAACGGCAGTGGCTCCATTGCCGACATGTTCCCTATTGAGAAACGTGGCAGGGCAATGTCTGTGTGGGCAATGGGACCGATGCTGGGTCCCTGCATTGGACCTGTGGCTGGCGGGTATCTCGTCCAAGGCTTGAACTGGCGCTGGGTGTTTTGGATCATGGCCATGGCGGTTCGTACAAAGTGATTTTCAAATTCATCTTTGCTCATCTAACAGATCAACATAGGGAGGCGTGATCTCGCTCGCTGGTCTCTTCTTGGTAAACGAAACGTACCATCCCAAACTGGTCGGTAACAAGGTCCGTAAACTACGCAAGGAAACCGGAAACACGGACCTTTACAACGCCCTCGAGGACCAGACTATGACGGAAAAGATGAGGCTCAAGTTGGCTATCATTCGACCTCTCAAGATCCTCTTCATGCTCCCATCCGTGAGCCTCATGTCGCTTTACGTGGCTGTCATCTACGGCATCTTGTACTTGATGATTAGCACCTTTACCTTTGTTTTTGGAGCCAACCAATACGGATTCTCAACGGGAACCGTGGGATTGTCGTACATCCCGACCGGTCTAGGGTGCATCGTTGGCATGGTTCTCTTTGGCGCCTTGACGGATATGGAGGTGAAGAAAAGGCAAAAGAAGGGCGAAACACCGGTGCCAGAGGACCGTTTGGCGATTTACATGATTGTCTTGGCTGGTGTCACAACTACCGTCTCCCTCTTCTGGTACGGCTGGTCGGTTGAACAGAAGATACACTGGATATGCCCAATGATTGCCGTCGCTGTCTTTTGCTTTGGATTGATGGGTGTTATGGCAAGTATTGCCTCTTACCCTCTCTGCTTTAATTTTGTGGAATACTAACTATAGGAATGTCCAGATGACGGTGCAGATCTATCTCATCGATTGTTACATCCAGTACGCGGCGTCCGTCATCGCTGCACTCACCGTGTTCCGCTCCATCGTCGGCGCATTCTTGCCTATGGCTGGGTTATCTCTATACAATAAGCTTGGATATGGCTGGGGAAACAGTTTGCTTGGATTTTTGTGCCTCATCCTAGCGCCAGTACCTCTTTTCTTCTGGAAGTATGGAGCAAGAATGCGAACAAAATTCCAAATAAAATTGTGAGGAGGAAGTGGGGTGTGGTTTCTTTGCTTGTTTTAAAAGGAGTTGGTTTAGGGCCTGATCATCATCATCTGTCTATACATACGATATATAATTGCTCGTGGAGCACAAAATTCACGGATGTAAAAGTACAATTTCTAGTCGTTTTAAGGCTATACCCCTCAGGTGCCTCAACTAATCCACTCGAAGTAGAAGACTAAGACCCTCTGGAGGAATCGACCACTGTTTGGGTTTGAAATGAACGGATGGAGACGCTATTTTCGCCGCCGGATGACCCAAAGTTCAAGGGGGATAACCGGCCACAAAACTGGATACTTGCTCGCAATTAATGCATGAAAGGGTTTCATATATCCTTGTTCCTAATGGAGATGGACGAGAGAACTATAAACCATGATGTTCTTTTGTTTTCACTTCAGATAATGGAGACACTTCTTTCATTGGATATTGTCCCACAGGGCTTTGCTTTGTCTGCTTGCGGAGATAATAGGCTTAACATCAAGGCTTGCTAAACTCGATTCCGTAGTTCAATACTGGTGTCGTTTATCTTTAAATCTGTAACCCTCATAAAAGTCCATGTTCAACAATATATGTACTTAACCTCACCTCTGGTTGTACCGATAACTACAAGACCGCCTTCAAGCGGCTGGGTTGGCTGATCTAAGGAAAACAAGTAATTTGCAGATGGATCCTTCCAAAAATACAATAAGTACAAAAATAAAATGATAATTCGATCCGCTTAATAGGGGAGAGAGTTGATTCCAGCCACCGCTACGGTATTGCCCGCCACGGTCATGAGGGCCGCGTTCTTCGAGTGCCTCATCATCCTCAAGTGATCTTCGATCTGTGCTATTGAGCACACCAACACTTCCTCGAATGCAGCTCGGGATAAGCCCATCCTGACTATCTCGATCGTCCCCAGTGCGCCGGATTTGTGTAGGTCGACCAAGGCCACAGGTTCGCCGTCCTCGTCCAATAGCCGCCATGTGGCATGCTTCCAGTCCATGTCCGTCATTCTCCACTCGAGGCGTCCGATCTCAGTTGCATCAAAGTGCCCGTTCAGAGCCTGATACCTGAGTTCTCGTGATGTCAAAGGGAACTCTATCTCGAGTTTTGCGGTCAGCTTTGACCAGTCGAACTTGCCCACGATATCCCCGTTGCTGCGGGGCGTCCGCGAGATGACGGTGTATGCAGAATCCCCAAATAAGCCTCTGTCGTCCACGAGCTCATATGACAACTCAGTGTCACCGGGCACAGTCAAGCCAGTGGGGTTCCAGTTGAACTTGATGACCTTTTCAAATGTGGGAAGTGGTTTTAGAGGTGGGGCGAATTTGATGATTTTGTTTTTCAAGAAATCCATTTTGGATATATTTTGTCGACGGAAGTAAAATAGACCAGTAATAGAAAACACAGGAGTTGGGTTTTTGAAAATGGAATTCCCTTCATTGAGACGTGGCTATAAAGTGGCTTCTTATACAACGGCGCTCTGCCTCCATCTTGCGTCGGCTGTTCCCCGAAGCATGCACGGAAGAAATGAATCATTGCTGAAACAAGACTTATTTTGTCACCATCCAATGATTGCATATTGTTCTCTGGTGTTTTCTCTCTTATGGAGCATCTTAAGAATGGAAGCAGTGGAGACAAGGTTGACAGGCGACAGTTGAGGTCGCCGACGTTGACAGCCTTGCAGGGGTTGTCATTCGCTTGAGGTCCCCGATCAAATTTTAGGATTGCGCGTTCCTCTTGTATTCTAATTTCCAATTTATTTATATAGCAATCGGCTCTGGAATGAGATTAGGTAAGTGGTTGGTAACTGCCGGTATTTAAGGTGAGAGTTCCCCCTAGTGGGCAACGGCCCTTCAACCTTAATGCAGATACAGTTCTGATTCACGATTGTAATGCAGCACATTTTGTTGAATCCCGTGCGTCAGCCTCTGATATAGAACTTGATATGCCTGGCATGTTTCAATTGAAGCCGGCATAGGTGCACACTTCTTCTACCGTTTCTTCCTACCTTTGACAAGCTTCTCTGGAGATGCAGTCGACATCTAGCTTACCTGATCTAGGCCATTGGCTGTCTCCATGCGTGCCAATAGCAGGATGACTGGGACTTACCGACACTGGAGTACCAACCGCGTGGCCCATCCAGGGTAGGATGCCAATCATGAACTGATCCCGCGATAAACTTGCACGATCTCGAACAGAGGTGATGTTAAGGAGCGGGGAGACCCGGTGTTGGCCCAATAAGGTGAGAGCAAAGATTTGGTCTTGTCAAAAGTGCCTGTGTGTCATTGCTTAAAGTGTGTTCGACCTGCATTGTGTGATGCCGATTATGCCGAGTAGATGTTGCATCCGCTAGTAACTGGGCAACTGGGACATGGCCCCAGCTCACCTTATCTACCTCTCAGGCAGGGGAAGCATGGCTCAAGGTATCAATACTGCTGCTGTTGAAGCTTAAATAGCAGGAGTTGGCATGGAAATTCGGTCGGTAGTAACAATACCGATGCTCACAACATCGCTAGATTCTTGATTTTGAATGAAAAGGACTTGGCTGAACTTGATGATTCACCTTGTCGGTTTGGCCACACTGGCTGGCCTTCCTAAAAGATATCATCCGTGCTTGTACCCCAGAATTCTTACAGATAACAACATAAGACCCATGTAAGCCGAAGCTAGGCATGCAGACAATCAGCTGCAAGGCACCAGTATTTAACTTCTCTCCTCCCGGAACTTTGGCTGGATTTTTTTTCTCAGGCCAATTGAGGTGTATTTTTCTCCTCGTTCAGCCGGACCAGTCAATCGCCATGCTCTTTGCGTTGTTGCTTTCGGTTGCTGAGCTGGCAGCCGCTCAATTCGTCGCTGAGCCCACAGGCTTCACGACAAAGAAGGGCCATGCCGGCATTGATGTTAGGTACAAAGAGGTGCCGACAGGAATCTGCGAGCAAACTCCTGGCGTGAAGAGCTTCAGTGGCTATGCCGATGTGGCCGAGAACGAGCACATTTTCTTCTGGTTCTTTGAGGCGCGAGATGTCGACCCCGAGACCGCTCCCCTGACCATTTGGATCAATGGCGGACCTGGTAGCTCGTCCATGATCGGTCTTTGGCAAGAAATGGGTCCATGCGGTGTCGACTTTGACGGCAACTTGTACGACAACCCGTACGCATGGAACAATGTGACCAACATGATCTATATTGACCAGCCTACGACCACCGGTTTCTCCTACTCGATCCCCGTCTCGGGATACAAAGATTCCAACTCTGGAGATCTCGTCAGACTCCCGAATGCAACTTGCCCTGATTATGCGGACCCCTCGACTTGTGGCACCTACAACGTATTCGACACCACGCTGACGGCCAATTCTACGCCCGCCGCAGCACCCAACTTCTACAAGACTCTGCAGGCCTTCACCGGTGCATTCCCGCAATACTCTTCAAACGGCGTCTACTTCTCCACGGAGAGCTACGGTGGCCACTATGCGCCAAT